TAAATATATAAACTATGTTACATGCGTTATATGCGTCTCTAATTATTTTTCCCTAGCAAATTTCAATTGAACCTAAAGCCGCCACGTCAGTTTAATTGATATGCTAATTGATTGACAACTAAGCAAGGTTACTTTTTAATTAATACAAACTTGAGGTTACATCTTTTCAAATGTTTCTCAATTAATATATAGGGGATTTTGACTGTAACTGGTAAACTAAAATTGAATTAGTGGAATAAAAATAAATGGAATGTTTGGAATGGAATACAGTAGAAAATGGAATGGAATTCATTCCTTTCATTCATGAACAATTTTGTTTTGGAATAATTCTCTTTATATTTTATTCAATTCCTTTTAAAATGGATGGAATAGCCATTCCGCTTCATTTATAGCAACTGGTAAAAAAAATTGTGGAATTAATGGAATCATCCATTCCACCTCATTTCATTCCAAAAAAATGCATTTCAGTTGCACCCTTTATGTATTTAACACAACTGAATGAAACTGTTTAATATATACCAATATATAGGACCAAACAAAACAAAAACAGTTTTAATTAATATATACTTTTATACCACTTAAAACTTTTTTTAATTATTGTCAATTTATTTATTTTCGATACTATATTGCCAAATAATTCCAATGTTATATTCGGTGTGTTAACTGTTGAGATGGTCTAATGCAGTTTCATAAAAAGAATCAACAAAGATAAGAAAGTTTGAAGTGAAAAGAATATGCTTTACACAGGTAAGGCAACAAAGGCAAAAGAGGAAAGGAGAAGTCAAAGCATGGTATAGCTATACATAATAGTGAGGTTTAATTAAATAAACTAAACCGATTAGCAAAAACTTTATTGTATCAAATCAGAACTGCATTCTAATTATAGCGAGTTCCCACATGCATATGTTTCCTTCACAAATTGATAGAAAATATTTATTAGCCAGACATGTGCATATATTAATTGAATGTTTTAATTCTGTCATTATGGTCCTATAATGAGGATCTTTAATATATACAGGCGATGAATGCGAAATCGACAAATAGAATTCATATGTTGTGATGAAAAAACATTGAGTATTGACTCAAATGCAAATATATAAACTATATGGCTATGTAATATGTGTATTACACTATTTTGGTGTGTCACAAATAATGAATATGATAAAAGAACAAAAAAACAATTTATTAATGAATTGGGTTTTTCACAAAGCCAATATGTTTACGTGAATACTTTTTGTAAAGATGTTCCTAACCTTTGATGATATTTATATACGAACATTCTCAGTAACAAGACAACAAGTCCATGATGGTGGATTCTGTTCTTATGAAAATCAAAGCAAAAGTGCCAGCTTATGAACAACCCACTTTCCCAAATACCCAATTTACCCCTCCCACAACACCTCTATATATTCACAAACGCAGTTTCTAAATAACATAACACACATTAATAATCATAGTTTCAGAGAGAAGCAAACATGGCGTCTTTGAAGAACTACAACATGAAGATTCTGTTGGAAACAGTTGTTGTGTTTTGTCTTTGTTCATTTTCTTTGGTTTCTTCACACAGCAGAAAATTCACAACACCAAACGTGACACGTCTAACAGATCAGTTCAGTAGAATCGCCATCGAAAGCGGCTTCTCCAAACGTTTTGGCGATCACAATATTATCGTCAATGGCTCTCTGGCCAAACTCACTCTCGACAAATCCTCTGGTAATTAGTAACACTCTATATACACTTCTGTTCTGTTTCGTGTCCTCTGGTCGTTCTCTTGTCTTTGTATACTCTGTTTTTCCTTTTAAGTATATATTTTTTTATAAAGTCCTCATAATATATATACATGAAAACATATTTAATTTTTGGGGGTCACATTACAGGTGAAATTAATTACTGACCCATATACTTTTAATACATATGTACAATTGTTGTTAGAGATACAATAAAAGCATATAAATGGTTAAACTCATATAGTCGTATACTCCAAAAAAAATTAGTATTGACGTCATATATTTGTAGGTGCTGGGTTGGTGACAAAGAACACGTATCATTATGGATTTTTCAGTGCAAGACTCAAGCTTCCCGCTGGATTTGCCTCTGGTGTTGTGGTTGCTTTCTATGTAAGTATATTATGATTTAATGTCTCATGTAAACATATAACATAGTATAGCATATATAATTTATGACGTGTTTATTATCAAATATAGTATTTTGGAAGGTATACTAATGTATACTCTCGATGTGCAGCTGTCAAATGCTGAGAGTTATCCAAAGAACCACGACGAGATAGATATAGAATTGTTGGGTAGAAGCAGGAGAGACGATTGGTCGATCCAGACGAATGTGTATGCAAATGGGAGTTTGAAAACAGGAAGAGAAGAGAAGTTCTATTATTGGTTTGATCCAACTCAAGCCTTTCACGACTACACTCTCATTTGGAATTCTCACCATATTGTGTAAGAACATGACTCTTGGCTGTGTTTGATCTTCATCTTTTTCTTTTCTTAAAGAGATAGTATCTATTCTAACTAGTTTGCAAAAAAATAAAACAATAGGCGTTGATGAAAGCCAAGAAAAGCCATACAATTAAAAATAGATATTTAGGTTCATGAATCCTAAGGCAAATGCTTCTTTAACTAGAAAATCTAGAATGTCTTTTCTGTATAGTTCTTTGAATTGTTATTTAACAATATCAGTAAACAACAAAATGAATATTTGTCATCTACTAAAGATACAAGTTAATATTCCAAGACTAGTCCAACATATTTAAGATATTTTTTCAGCTATAAATAAAAGTCTATTTTTGTATGAATTCCATAGTTATTTTAAATAGTAATTCAGGATTCAATAATTTATATTTTCACACTATGTTCACCAATTGTTATATTAATTTAACTGAACTGGTGAATGGCTTTGCAGATTTTTGGTAGACAACATTCCGGTTAGACAATTTCCGAACCGAGGAGCATTCATGAGCGCGTATCCGTCTAAACCGATGTCTCTATACGTCACCGTTTGGGACGGTTCAGAATGGGCCACCCATGGCGGTAAGTATCCCGTCAACTACAAGTATGGCCCCTTTGTGGCTTCCATTGCTGACGTAAAGTTAAGCGGCTGCTCTGTTAATGGCTCCTCTACTGGGCCTGGGCCATGTACCAAGTCAGGCGGGTCGGTTTCAAGTCTGGACCCTGTTGACGGTCAAGATTTTGCTACATTATCAAAGAATCAGATCGCAGCCATGGATTGGGCTAGGAGAAAGCTAATGTTTTACTCTTATTGTAATGATAAGTCGAGATACAAAGTCATGCCTGCTGAGTGCTGAGTTCAGCTGTTATTGTTTTTCTAAAAAGGTATAATTTTACGTAGGATATTGGTGGTTGAATTTGAATGTCATGTTTCATCTGTTTATTTTCTTCCTTTAATATTCTTTTGCATAAATGTTATCTATATGTAATGTTAAAGGTCACAGTGGACAAAATATTCCACTTTGAAAGTTTCTTTGTCACATGTTTAAATTTATCTGTAACAAGTAACAACGGTTTGTGCACCATATTCAAAATGGTAGTGTTTTTAGTGATGAATTCAAAAAGGGGCCTGTCAGACACCCGTGCGACCACCGTAAGCATGGTCAAGACCAAGCTAGGTAACGATCCTCTACAGCATCGAAAGTCCGAAGACAAGCGTAGCTGTTAATCACGCTCAGGTCACACGGTTGCAAATCATCAACCAGGTTTTAGGGACTGTCTCCTTAGAAATCAAGGATGCAGCGGTACTTCCTATAGAACAGATCCTGTTCAAGTAAGGTCGTGACCTGTGATGGTTTCTTGAGATATATAAACAAGTCATATCTCCTCTGCGTTTTCGATGTGGGACGTTTCTTTTCCCACATACTAACAACACACGTACGATAAGTTTGTTCAGAGAGATGGCAAATTAAATATGGTCAACCCCCTCGAAAACGTCCAAAGATTTAAATCAAAACCAACGTTTTAACATTAACAGAAATACAGAGCAGTAATATCATAACTTCACCCCCCATAGATATGCAATTTACAAAAACAAACTGATTACTTAACTTAAACAAGAACCAAAAAAGGGTTTTGTGAGTTACTTTTAAAGATTCCTCTCGTGTGGCTCGAGCCAAGGAAACCCTAAGAAATCGAAAACTTCTTTCTCTGTGGAGAGTTTCATGCTAGCACTTGCTCTACCACCCTGACAAAGAAACATGATCACATGCTCAAACAAAAATAAAATCATTCCCTTTTAATCATTCACATTGTTCCTCTTACCCGGTTACCACTTGAGCTGTGAGTAGCTGGGAATAGTCCAGTGTCATCGAGTCGATAGCCTTTGGATTCTGCTAGCAATCTCAGCCTGCATTTTCCATGGCATACCAAATAAATAAAGAGGTGTGTGTGTTTAATCTTTCTTTCTTTCTTTCAACAATATGTTTGGTGACATGCATAATCTGATTATTATGTTCATACCTTCTGTTCAACACGTCATTCCCTGTCCATGCTATGAGTCCGAATGCATATATATCCCTCGGATAAACCTGTTAAAAAAGTAATGCAGGCATGGTGATGAATCAACGTATCTTTCTCCTTTTCTCACAATGAAAGTGTTACCTTGAGGTCAATACGGCGCCTCAGCTCCTGACCAGGATAAGTGCACAGACCAAAATACGTGTCAACCCCTGAACCTATACCCTGCATGATAGCGGAAAATCATTGAGAAGAATCTTTACCGAATCCTGAAAAAGTCAGATGATTGACAAACTAAATGCACAAGAAACTGAAAAATGTCAAAGTTACCTCTTCACTGTGAGTACTGAAGATGAGATCTTCTCTAAGAAAGTTTATTTCCTTCAAACGCTTTACAAACTTTGTCAAGAACCCCTTGTGACTAAGTCAGGAGCCATGACAATAAGCAAAGAAAAGTTCTCAGTAGATGCAACTTTTTTTTGAGAAAAGAAATAACACAGGAGAAGAGGAAACAAGATTGTACATACCTTTGTCCATCAGGATGTGTAATAACGATATCTAGATCTCCGCAAGTAGCTTTCCCACGTCTATATGATCCTCCACATACAATATCCACCTGCAAGAAAGATGCCGTTAAAGTTTCTACATCCAAAAGTAGAGCAAAGTGATAAACTGAAAAGTTCATTACACCAGGTAAAACTTCCTCGCCCACTCTCTTTAGAAGTTGTTCCATCTCTTGCACCTACGACACAGAAAGTGACAAGGAGAAAGCTACATCAAGGATATAAAAGAAAAACAAAATTCAAGTCGAAGTCTAGGAATCACACACACCTCCTGGCGTGGAATCCTTGTTCTAATATCATCAAAATATTTCAACCCCAGTCTTTGCGCATGCGTGAGTGAATCCTCGTTCTTCAAGTCTTCTAATGTGCGATGTCCTTTCTCATATAGCTTGAGCGCAGTAGCAGGACCAATACCCCAAACTTCCCCAAACAAAGTGATTGTACGAACCTTCAATCAAAGTAAAGAAATATTCAAAGTGGTAAACAAATTAGCGTAGGAATAGTATTACACATCGGTGCTCTAGCTCCATGTCATTGACAGTATATTCTTAGAGGAATTTAGAACAAGAAAAAAAAATGGTAGAATAACTTTAACTTATGACTTCGAGATTTTACCTTCTCATCTGTTTCAAAGTGTTCCAACTTGGACAACTTCCCTGTAGTCACGATTTCTTGAATCTGCCAAATACAGGTAGAATAATAATGTTAAGTTCCCACAGAAATACAAAACAAGGTTATAAGATGGTACTTGATATGCAACGCCAATAATAACAAAAGCTATTAATGATACAAAATCTTAGAACTAGAGCAGCAGAAAAACTTGGAACTACCCCAAGCACTAGAGGTTGGGGTAAGCGTATGCAGTAGTGAACACATTTCTTAACTCACATGATCTGCCAATGATTTTCCAATCCCAGGGAGGTGCTTAAGCTCATCAACGCTTTCAATTTTAGTGGGGAACTTCTCAATGACCGGTATAGCTTTGTAATAGCTAAAGGACCTCCTATCATCACCCAAAGCTTTTGAAAAAAAGAGAGAAAAAGAGTCACGCTAATTAAGCTCATTCAAGAGAGCAATGTAAAAAGAAAAACAAACACCAGTAATCTTACCTCTATATATGTTTATTAGCTTCCCAAATATCTCAGTAATATTTCTGTTCAAATCCGGTGGTTTGTAAACCGATGAAGGCTATACATTAAAAAAAAAAAAAAAAGATTAATGAGATTATGATAACTTTCAATAGCCACAACATTCCTGCTAAGAGAGTAAGTAAACAGCATCTAAACCCCAAAAGCCAGTCTAACCTCTGAGTGTGGACTAGTGGGAGTCTCTGAAATGCCTACTCCAGGACTGGCACTAGTAGAGGGAACACTGCAACTAGTAGGTGATCCTTGTGTATCCTTTTGGCTTTCTAAGCCTACTGTATCAGAAGAATCAGGGGAGTCTTTAGCTCTTTTTGGAGTTGATGGTTGATCCTCACTACCACTTGTTGCATGCAAAGATTTGTTAGACTCTTTAACTTCTCCAGAGTCAATTTTGAGAAGATACAAGTCTTCATCAGCCTTCTCTCCTGAAGTTAAACTATCTTCTAACCACTGGTAACGCAGAAGACACTGCCAAAAAAAAAAAACATTACAAAAACAAAATAAACTCTCCGATTGACCTGAAGTATAAATCTCTATTCAGGACAAATAACAGCAGAAGCTACCGAAGACTAAAACATTCAAACATTTAAAAAAAAAACAAACTCACTCCTTTAAAATGAGACAGAGGTTCTTTCTGGAATTTTCCGACAAGAGCTTCATCATTCATTGCAAGAACATGAGTTACTTTCTTTGTCAAACGATCTTCCTCAATCACTACTCCTCCCATTTGAACAAGCTTCTGCTTCCATATCTTCAATTCAAAATAGGCAAAATAATAAAAATTGAATGTGACAAACTTTTTTTAAAAAAAAAAAAGTTGAGAAAATTTGATTCTCTCCGAGCAAAAACCTGCAAACGACGGCGCTGAACTCCGGTTTCCACCATGAAAACTACCATTCCGGCGAACATTCCGTTCCGGTCAGGAGAAGGCGACCTGTTTCTCCCTCGCTTTGGCGCCATTTTTATTGTTCTTCACTCGCAAATTTTGCTCCGTAATTCCAACAGCACCGAACGGCAAATTTTTGTGAACTTACTTACTACTGTGCCGTTCGAAGCAGGAGTTACCCTCGTTTTCAATGAACCGAAAACGAACCAAATCAAAATCGGGATGACAAAACTGGTTCTAAACCGGATTTTATAGTTTTAATCAGTGTGACAAGACAACACTGGAACTAATCTAACCTTATGGTTAATTGGTAGTTTATTTGATTTTACCATAAGTAATTCAGCTCGATTTTTTTTTCTTATTTTATTTGCGTATTGATATACTCCAAAATACAACCAGTTTGATAACCGAAAACCAATTCAAACCGGAAATAAACCAAAGTAACCACCCGGTTAATTGGTCGGACTTTCATGAATAAAGGAATTCAGTCTTTGAAAATAAAATTGAGTAGGGATTATTGGTTAATGTGTTTTAGTGGATTTGAAAATCTAAAATAGATATGTTTTTTTTTTTACCGTAAACAAAAAAGTTTTATCTCACTCAAGAAGCATTCAACACTTATAAAAAAATGAGACAACAACTCAAGGTGCAAAACTACACTTTCAATGTATCTCTCTACTCTAGAAGAAAATCTCTACTTCCTTTTCAGTCATCTCAAGAACATGGTCTCTAGCGTCCGTAAGAGCACTCTGGATAAATTTTAAAAAAATATATAAGGCACAGCGTCTCAGTAACCAGAATATTTTAACAAGACACCTGGTGGTAGGAAGTAGATATGTTCTTACCTGTCCAAACTTGGTGATGAAGTTGTTCCCCAGATTTATCGATGTAACCGTGACATCTTCGTTGGCCTTTAGAGCTTGTGCAATGGCGAATGCACCATCATCCTGTATATGACGCAGAGCATTAAGATCTAGTGGCTTACAAGGTTTCAAATAGGACTACAAAATAGTTTTCTTTTTACCCGAATCTCATTGAATCCTAGATCTACGGATGTCAGAGCTTCATTAACTACTTTTAAGCTCCGAGCTAAGCAAGAAGCTCCCTGCAAAAACAAACGCATCATATGCAAAGAGATACCTATGCAAAATAATTGAATATACTGATAACATTATCTCTGCGGGAACCTCATCTCTAAGTCCATTTGCCCGCAAGTCCAGAACCGAGATCGTGTTGTTATATCTCAACATGTCTGCAACGTATTCAGCACCCTTAGCGGCTATCTGCACGACATATGAATGAAAGATCAACAATGATAGAACAAAAAAAGCAAACAGTTTGTGGAAGGGCGGCTTTACCTGGCACCAACCAAGTTTGAGCGTCTTTACATTTCCATGGAACTTGAGAATTTCTGATATAGCTTTAGCTCCATCAGGTCCTATTGGATTGTAACCAACCTCTAACTGAAGAAATAATGAAGCTAGCACTGTCATCATCTTCCAACTAATAAGTCAACAAGGAAATACAGATGAGAAAGAGTTTATGCAACTGACCGTTGTAATAATTGCATTGTCTTTCAGAGCTTGAGCTATAGCATTAACTCCCGCTGCGTGGATGTTATTTCCACCCTATTTACAACAAAAAGAAAGCGTTAACATCCACAAATAGCTCGAGTTAGGGAGACTGGAGAAGAAAATGGCCACTTCTCACAATGTCAATGGTTGCGATTGAACGGTTCTGCTTCAGAGCATCTGCTATCTTTTCAGCTCCCTGAAGTTTATGAAATCATTCACTCAGTTAACAAGGCACACGATCTAGCTGCATTGTTTCTAATTGGATGTGTAGAAGTACCTCATCGCCAATATCATTCATGTACAGGTTCAACCAAACCAGGCTCTTGCTTCTCTTGATGTATTCTGCTACATAGAAGGCACCCTTTGCGGTGATGGAGTTGTTACCGAGGTCTAGCAAAGCCAGTTTCCCTGCACATAATTAGAGGTAAGAAAGAGTTAGTTTCGATGTACGAAGATAGTTCTTCTGAAACTGCTCAAACAACAACCTTTGTGGGAAGAAAGACCAGCCATCAAAGCACGAATCCCTTCATCTCCAATGGAATTTCCATGCAAATGAAGTTCCTGCAAGTAGAATGGCCAAGGGCTTAAACGGATTTAACTCTTAAAGACATAAATAAATACATAGAATGGGACATGAGGAGTTAGCTTACCCGTAAAGACTTATTACCCTCAAGCCCTTTAGCTAAAGCATTGGCACCCAAGGCACCACCATAGTTTCCACTGAAACAGGTTATACATAAATCAGCATGTCAGGGATATGAATATACTAAATAAATAAGAAAAGCAAGACTGAAACAAAAACATTCATCTACGATCTTGAACTCACTTGAGATGTAAATTTCGTATTGTATTATTCTCATTAAGAGCTCCAGCAAGACTTGTGAATCCCTACCTCCATTTCAAAAGACACAACAGATTCAATTCATAAACCTGGATGCTTAATTCAGAGATATAGAGGTAAGGCACATAAAGAGAAAGAACTTACAGAATAGTCAATCATGTTATTATTTAGCTCAATAACCCTCAAGGTTGAATTTCTCTTCAACAACTCAGCAATTTCTTTCGCACCCTGCACAGGAATATCAGCAGTACTTAGATGCATGAAATGAACTAAAAATATTGTGCGTCTAACTATGGAGCTTGAAGAGCATGTAAATTACAGCATCTGCTTAGACAAACCTCGTCTCCTAAATCAGTACTGTTCAGCTGAAGTATTTCGATGCTAGAGTTTTCCATCAATGTAGCACATAATGTCTGTCATTACAAAATTAAAGGAAACCATATCTCATAAAGAAATGCACACCTAGAGAATAAGCTCTGTCTGATAACCATAAGACATCCGGAAAGTATTTCCACTAACCTTAGCTCCTTCATCACCTATAGGGTTCCCAGAGAGGTTAAGAACCTTCAACATAATATTTGATTGAAGAACACCATCAAAGGCTTTAACTCCTGCAGCTGTAATTCCATTTGCAGAAAAATTGACTTCCTCAACAGTCTGAACACAACAGTATGGGTGTGGTTACTCAATCACTCAATCAAGCAAGAAGATCATGACTCTAATGAAGTTTGCAGACAACAGACGTGAAAGAGAGAGAGAGGGAGCTATAAACCTGATTATACCCAAGGCTTTCAGCAAGAAAGAATAGTCCTTCATCTCCAAAGTTACATCCTGCAACATAATACTCAAAAGGTAAGCAATATCAAGATCAGCCACAAGTAATGTAAGGATAGTTAAACTAAGATCATATAAAGCACCTGACATGTCAACACTTCTGAAGGACCTGAGCTCTTTAGCAAACTCATTAAGCCTCTGCTTGTTCTCCCTATCAACCTTTGCAGCAAACCCTTGTAAGAGATTCGTACCAGCACCAATAGACCAACTCCCTCCTCGTGTAGAAGACTTGCTTTCACCAGATAAAGTCTTTGGAGACGACTTTGGAGACATAAACTTCTCCACCACTTTCCACAAAACTGTCAGCTGAATAAAACAACTTAGCAAGGCCTCAAGAAAGAAAGAAATAAACTTTCCTAAGTTTCTATATTGCCAACACAAATCAGCTTACCGAATGTGACGACAACGAAAGAGCCAACGGGCATTACGTTAGAAGCAATCTGCTGCAATTTAGCATTAGGGAAGGCACTAGCTGATGCCTGTGACTCCTTGTAAGCTCTACGCCTCGAGCTTCCTTCTGTTGAAGCTCTGATCATTGAAAGTCTCGGACTTTTCTGAAGAAACAAACGGTTGGTAGAAGCTGAGCCGAGTCCAAACTCGAAATTTCTCCATTGGTTTAACCCGGAAGAAGCCTGAATAAATTCAAAAGATTGAATCAGAAGCTAAAGTGATTGAGAGAAAGGATTAGTATTTACTAGTAGAGTTACCTTAGGGAGAGAGTGGAGATAGAGAGAGCTGGAGGAAGACGACGCCATCAAGAGGCGCTAAAGAGGAGGAGAAGCGGCGAATTGGAGAAGAATAGAATAGAAGAGAAGAGAAGAGATGATGAAGAAGATGAAGTGTGTTTTCTTCGCGCTAAGCGCGTGTGACCCGATAGTCTTGGGCATTTTATCCAGAACCCGAAAAACAAACCGAAACCGAAAATTACAAAAACCCGAACGGTTCTCAATTTTCCGAACCTAAAAAACTGAAATCAAACCAGAATCGAACCGAGAACCGAACGAATACCAGAACATTTTAAATATAATAAAAATATTAATTATTTTAAATTTTAATATATATAAAATGTAATTTTTTAAATAGAAAATATCTAAAACCCGAATTATCCAAAAAAAATTTGGGTTTAACTCGGTGTTTCGATTCTTTTTTTTGTTTTTCGACTTAAACTCGAACCAAAAAACCGAACTATTTCTAATTTGGTTCTAAATTTTACAAAAAATATAAAAATCTGACTCGAATCTGACATTACCCAAACCAATCTGATCCAAAAAAATTTCGGTTCCTAAATCTCCAATCCGAAAACCGAGTAATCCAAACCAAACTGAAAATCAGAATAACCAGCACTAGTCTCGAGATTGAGACAGGGGTTCAATTGTTAAAAGTATTATCTATTTAGGTTCATAACATGAAAACATAAAACATGTGGACTCACAACATAAACACATAAAACATGTGGACTTAAATAATTATTGTTCAAAAATATATTTATTTACTTTTTTTATTGGTCTTCTTTTCTTCTTCTTCTCTCGGCGATTCTAATTCGGTGATGATGGCGTTGGCTGGAATCAGGACTTGGAATCCAACTTTTCTTCAGCTAAGGACCTCTACTACAAGCTTACGTTATGTGACTCCACGTAACTCGATTTCATTTCCTCGTTCCTCAAACGTGAATCTCAATCGGAGAAACCGTCTCTATGTTCGTTCCTCCTCCTCTGCTTCAGGTTCGAATTGTAATTATTTTGATTCGATTCTTGTAGTAACGACTCGAAAGTATCGATTTTTTTATGATTACCATTAAAAGTATCGATTTTTTTTTTGTGTTTTGAATATTCAGACATGTTTTGAGTTCTGTTCTAGTTTGGTTTGAATGTTTAACGAGAACTCAAAAGAGTTTATTTTGAATTTTTTTTAGTGGCACCTGCGATAGAGGGATTGAAACCGGCGATTTCCTTGACGGAGAGTGCGCTTAAGCATCTGAATAAGATGAGAACAGAGCGTGGGGAAGATTTGTGTTTGAGGATTGGTGTTAAACAAGGTGGATGTTCGGGGATGTCTTACACGATGGACTTTGAGAACAGAGCTAACGCAAGACCAGATGATTCCACCATTGAGTATGAAGGCTTCGCTATAGGTAAAGTTTCTTCCCTTGGTTTGTTTTTGGTTAATTATTTCATTCTAATACAATAAGGTTCAAGAGGTAAAAGATCAGTTAGTTTATGTAGAGTAGACTAGCCATGTTATATATGAATTGTTACCTATTGTGTGTTTTGAAGTATGCATCTAAATAAAAAGGGATGTGGCTATTGAGTAACAATCATCAGATGAAGATTCTTATTTTTGTTACCTTATAGTCTTAGACTGATTCATTTCTTTTGAGTATATATATTGTTGTTTGCAGTCAAGTGCGCTCAGGTTTTTCTTTTGCACACATCTTTTTTGCAGTTTGTGATCCAAAGAGCATGCTTTTTCTATTTGGGATGCAGCTTGATTACAGTGATGCTTTGATCGGTGGAGGCTTCTCTTTCTCGAATCCTAACGCTACACAAACCTGTGGATGTGGGAAGTCTTTTGCTGCAGAGATGTGAAAATGGTTGTATTGCAGTAAAGACACATGTAGTTATAGACTTATATAGCTAATAAAACATTGTGTATTATGGTTGTAGAGTTTCTAAAACTGAATCAGAAACATTGTAAACGTTTTTCATCTGTGATGTTCAAAACAAAATGCTTATAAAGATTCAAGTTCTGGTTACAAATTCTTCAGAAAGCAAAAACAAATGATCAAAAATCTTCTGGCCACTGTAACACATGAGCTCCAGATCAGGCTCTTCTCTTCTTGTGGGATCTGGAGGAGTGCTTATCATTGCCTCTCTTTTTGGCGGTTTTGTCAAACCCACTTGGTTTTGGCTTGTATTCAGGTCTGGTAGTCTCGATACTGACGATACCGCTTGAAGAGATCTTAGACTTTTCCAAAGCTTCAGCATCTTTGCCCACAATAGCAAATTGTTCAAGCAGCTCAGGATCCAGTTCTATCTTTGCTCTCATTTGTTCCTTTCAAACCAAACATTAAGTGTGAATAATCTTTACTCGACCAAAGATGGAAACAAAAACATAAATATAAGCTTGAACAGAAAGCACATACCTCGACTTGTTTTGCTCCTTCCCTGAGATCTTCGTCAACTGATACATTGTGAGGTTCAAGAACTCTCTGCAACCAAAAGTCACCATGAATCGTATTAGTCAGATATTCGTACATGTATATGCTAAAGCGCAAAGAATTTTTTTAGCTTTGCAATCTGAACTTACTTCTTTCAACCGAGGCAAAGTGGACTCGATCTCTGATTTTGCAATTCCATTCAAATATTTGTATAGCTTCTTACCAACCTTCAATAGAAGAGAGTGTATTTGCCCCCTCTCTAACTGCATTTGTCTCTGTAAATGAAATGTAATCATCCAATTTGGAAAATCTACAAGTTTATCTTTAAATGTCTGATGAAACATGGGTCCAAATAAATGTTATACCTCGATGGTAGAAAAATCTGACTCCTGCAAGCCCAAGCATAGGAGCACAGATGCTTGAACATATGAAAGCGTGACCGGGAGCTTCTCTTGAAAATAGTGATGTGCTAGAGTTTTGCAGAGGTCATAAACCTTCAAAAAGATAATTAAAAAAAAACAAGTAATCACCAAACGGAACAAAAATACATAATAAGTTAAACTCAATATGTTACTTTGATAAAAATGTAACTAACCAGATTGAAGTCCACAAGATTGTCAGTGTACGCTCTGAGTCTCTCCATGTCATAAGGAGAAAAGACTCTGTCGAGTTTCTTCAAATATCCATTTGCTGAACTTCCTGAAGAATCAACTTCTGCGAAGTTGATCTTAGGGTTTAAGACACTAGAGAAAAAAGAGTGATATGAGAATATGTTCAAATTCACCACGAATAGAATGGACCAAAAGATTTTTTAGTGCTAACCTCATTGCAAGTTTATAATCCATCTTCTTGAACTTATCACTCAACAGCTTAGAGAACCTTATCCTGAAATCTGAACAAAAAAAGGAGTGGCCACGACATTAAACCAAGAACGGCATACTTGGAAGATAACTAAAAGTCTAGTTCTTATTAAGAAATAACAAACCTTTATAGAAGGGAGCAAAGAAGCCCAGTTCATCAGACTCGCTAACTTCAAACTCATCGTTGTTTAATGGTTTCAGAAGCATACATGTGTGCTCACCAGTCACACCACTCTGATCAAACAAAATATAGAAATGTGTTATTAACTACTACTATACAAGCCACGGATAAGAAACTCGGTAGAAGGGATAGGTAGAAGGGATAGAGATGCGCGCTTAACTGGTATCTGACTGATGTAGAAAGGAGCAAATTTATGTTTCCTCCAGAAACGGAAAAGATCCAAAGTAAGACCAAAAGAGACACCGAGGTAGTGGAGTCTCTCAGGTCGTCGATCACGAAGAGGAACCAGCAAAGGTGGAAGATTGGCGCGAGGTTTTATTTGTTCCTCAAGCAAAGAAGCCTATGGAATAACAATCAGGTAAGAAGTTGAATGCATAAACCAAACAAGAAAAGATATAAGGATAGATGGAAAAAATCAAGAACCTTCTTAGCAGCTTCGGTAACTTTAACTGGTGAAGCCTCCACATCGAGGTCATCATCACCTTCTGATATTGAAGCTAGCTGACCCTCAAAATATCTGTCCACATCAAACAATCAAGTCAGTATCCTCAAGCATTGATCAGAGCTTAGTGTTTACGTATATACATTTTCATGCATGTTACCTGGTCAATAGTTCGACCGCAGCAGAGCCATATCCCATCTACATAGAATGCAATAAGGAATTTGTTAATTTTTCATGGAAGCTTAGAGATAAAAATAGGAGAAGCCTGAAAAAATTTACCTTCATGGCGTTGGGGTGGACTGCTATGCGTACAATACGAGCACCAGAAAGAGTTGGAAAGACAAGGTCACGGAACTGTTCACAGAACTTCCATGGTATCTGATCTCCATGTGGTGAATGACCATCTCTTAAACTTCGGATAGCTGATTTCTCAGATATCTGTCCTTCAAGACAGACCTGCAAAAGTACATCCAGAATCAGTCACAATGCTGCTGCAACAAACAACTAAAGCAGATCTCCTCTTGTTATTCTTTGTTAGTCCAACTAACAGTGTATCTCCAAACAAAACAGAAAGTATTGAGTCTATACCTGAACAACACAGAGTATATCAGGAAGCTGGTTTTTGGACTCATCAACAGGACCTGTATCATATAGAAGTTAAGGCGATACTAATCTGGTGATTAAATCTAGCTATAAATAATAGGAACAGTTATATACCGAGTAGCACAAACAAATGATGAGCAGGAGCATCCGCCAACAATTGAAGATCATTAGGCGAATTCTTGTAGTGAGAAGAGACACAAAGTGCCATCATTCGCTGTAGAATACCAATGTCAAGTTACTACTATCAAAACAAAGTTAGCAAAAAAGAAACAGATTTTAAAGCCAACTATTATTACCTGTAAAAACAACTCACTGTCTTTGTGATAAGAAAATAGTGTGTCTCGGTTGACATAGTAGAGATCACACTGACTTGGCAGAGGATGGCTACAAAATACAGAAGAAACAACCAAACCGAAAAATCAGTTGGGAAGAAAGAGATGCAAACGTTGTATTATTTTTTACGTGAAATATCCATACCATGAAGGACTGGGGAGACAATTAGCAACATCAAGGCATAGTAGACCATTGAGCCAGGATTCAATTGGATCTCCAGAAGCGTATCTAATTGACTCAGTAAGTTCTATCTTCTTAAAAAGGCAACCTGAATCCAAAGAAACGTCAGACAGTTAAGGTTTTCATTCCCCAAGGTAATGATTAACATCATCTACAGAGCCAAGAAAAAAAAAGATTTCTAAAACTAAATACTATGACATTAGACTAGGCCCTCCAAGGAAGATACATTAGCTCTAGTAGTTATGAACACCGATCAGATACTAAATACTAGGTTAGGATCTCTAACAAAAGTCTCTTGAATTCACACCCAAAATCGAAAGCAAGATATAGCAGTTAAATACCAGAAAGAGAGCCTTCAACACCAGTAGCAGGGGCTCGGCTTTGTTCTTCTAACTGTTGGAGAAGTTTCAGGGACAAAGATCTACCAGTACCTTCATATCTTTGATAAAGAAAAATAAAGAAACGGAAATCAGTAACTTTACTTGCTCAAATTATAACCACAACAGACATAATGGTAGTGTAAGCAGAAAATCATGTTTCACGTACCCACTGACAGTAGATGATAAGAAAACTAGGTAAGGTCCAAGTAGCGATTTCACAACTGGCAAAGGAATCGCAGCTGCTTCATCAATAACCAACAGCTCAACTTGTGAGAGCTTCTCGTGTTCATGCGGTTGGATATACTGCATTAAAAACAAGGAAATAAATAAGCAATTACCAATAAGTTAACAAACATTATCAGAACATTTTTAGAAAAACAGGAATGAACAAACCTGGATAGTTTGCCTGTGCTGCTTAAAGATATTTATCCGTACGATTGCTTTCTTAAAGTCAGGATTCACACTTCTCACAACATCATATTCAAGATGTTCCTTCAAAACCATATAGTTGAAGAGAATGTTTAGGACATTAATGGATACTTCAAATAACATGCAAAAAAGATTACTATTTATTCTGGCCTCGAAATAATGCAAGATCAGCATATTTCGGTAATGCCTTTAAATACGTGATGCCTAAGAAATTCATATTACCTTGTATTCAAGAGCGTTGAAACCTTTGCAAACAAACTCGAAGAATGTTTTTAAGTTATCTGGGCTTGGTGCTGTTACGTAGATATTAGAGTACCTAAGATCAAATACGATATGTTAACAAATATTATCAGAAAATTGTGAATTAAAAGAGTACATTAACCCAAAGCCTACCCAGCAGCAACAGCCCCTGCAACAGCTAGACCAAGTGCGGCAGATTTTCCACGCCCTCGACTAGCAATTAGAGCAACTATGCTCCTTAGGGTCTTATCCAATATTGCATCGAAAAATGTGACAACAGCTTTACCCTAAAAAGACAAAGCAGATGCTCAATCCTGATCCAATGTTTTGTACTTCTTCATACAATGTACACAGGTGACAAAACTACATACCTGATCCAATGTACAACACTGCTTAATCAAAGGACCAACAGGAAAATCTTCATCTAGTGCTTCTTTCAAACTCTTCAGGTCTTGTTCTGCCTCAGAAAGTCCCTCCGAATCCTTTTAAAAGCAAAAGTTAATGATAAGCGGCATGATGAGAGATGGTTTCTCTTAACAACCCTTAACTCTGCTAAAAATTTACCTCCTTTGCTGGAACTTTTGTGATAGATCTGATATGAGATGAAAGCGGCAATATATTCAACTCATCATCCATGACAACGCATGCTTTGCAGGACGCTAGTGATAACAGAAAACGTTCATTGAAACGTCCGGAAGTTTCAGAGTGTGACTCAGTCCGAAATCTATCATGCACATCCTGATACAAAAAGAACCAATCATGTAACTCTAAATAACTAGTAAAGAAAACAACATAACTACCAAAATCACATACCATAACCATGGTGCATAGACTAGTAAGTGAAGCAAGAGATTGCAATAATAATACAACTAGCCCACCCCCTTCCACCGTCTCAATTGTTCTTGCTAGCAGATTTGGGGTTAATGCTTCAAAATCCTGAACATATAAAATTAAATATGATTTTTTAGTAAGTAGCGGCAAGTCAGCAACTATGTTGCTTATAGCATTCATTAACCAGGCTTACCTGTAGGATGCACATGCCATAAGTATTACCAAGGACTCTTTCAGAATCTTTGTACATGCAATGTGTTACTTCCCCAACATCAAGGAAAAGAGAGAAAGCGTCAAGCTTTTCAGGATCTAACTGCCCTCTCTCCTTCATCTTCTTCAGCTGCTTCGACCGTTTTTTATTGTGACTGCACACAAAACCAAATTCAGGCCAAGTTTCAGGTAAAGTTTGAAATTTCGATTTTATTTTGAGAACACACAAGGATGATAAATCAAACCTGCTAATGTCAAGTCTGTTCTTGTAACACCATAGCACACTTGTGTTAGACTTCACCACCGATTTTGACAAAATGTGATGAAGATTCACAATCTGTTACACATAACGAAAAGAAAAACGTATTATTAATTCATCTCCTAAACCCAAAAATAGCTTCTCAGAAAAATGCAAAGTAGAGATTCATTATACGAAGAAGAAAAGAGTTTACCTGGTCACGAGACTTGTCGCCGACGATGACAAACATGGAACGGTGTCTAAGCTTAACACCGTTCTCAATCAGAGTCCTGATACGTTCGTCTACCTTCTTCCTCATTCTCACACCAACTTTTTGCTTCCTAACCTTATGTCCGAAACAACATTCGATAAAACACAGTTTAGAGCTGTTTATGCAAAGATATTAAGACAAAGATATGTCGGGAGATTCAAGACATAAACCCTTTTGAAAATAATCTTTGCTATTTCAAATTCGAATCAAACTTTCAATGAGAAACTCAACGAAGCAAAGTCTCAGAATTTATAAAAACAGGAAAAAAATTATAGCAAAAGAAAACACAGAAGCTGCTTCCGATTCTAAGCTGTAAAAACAATACTACGCAGGCGTGTGATCAATAGTTGTGATGGAGAACGAACCTGAGGATTGAAGACGGTGACGGAAACAAGCAGAGAGGGTGAAAGAAAGAGTCTTTGTCTGTACCAAAGCAGAGAAGCGCGCCCTAAGCCAAACAGTTTGTTAAAACCCTAAAACCCACAAGGGTTTCCACTTCTAAACCGAGAACCGGTTTGCTTTTAGAATCGGTTTAACAACGCGCATTGGGCTCACAAGAACTGTAACTTGTAGCCCATTGGACCATAAAAACAATTTGGCTAAGATAGTGACTGAAAATATCGTATCTTTAGCCTCTTTTCTCATCTAAACTTTACTAATTTCAAGTCAAAGTAAATGATTACATAAAACATAAATTACAAGACACATGTTAATAAGAACATCAACTAGAGATAGCGTTAACACGATACTTCCTAACTTATTCGTAGGATAAACTAACTCGCTAGTATTCCTCATCTTCGTCATTGGTTTTATGCAGAACCGGTCCTTGGCTCAAGCAAAAAAAAGCATGGGTTTACAACCGTCAGATAATATCAATATAATCGACCACATTTTCTTAGAGATGTGTCTGTAGTGTAGTGATTAATTAACATTGTTCTTGCGCCCAAACCAGAGTTCTAATCCTCCCACCTGCAAAAAAAAAAGAAATTTCGGCAACTTTTTCCATTTTGATTTCTGGTTTTAAAATTCTAAGTCCGGTTCTGGTTTTATGTAATCTATTTTGTAGCTTTCATCTGTTGTGATTAAATGTTTTTTTTTATTTCTAACTAGATCACTGGATACAATCTATATGTTATATTGTAATCTGTCTCAAACACTCCCATGACAGAAGATAATATGTGTTGGTGTTGTATTCACCGTCCATGATTTACCTATTTTCCCCATTTGAAATCGATAATAACATTATGTTCCAATTCTCCCTAAGCTTGCATCTGATCTGATCTGTCCTTGTGAGTTGAGTGTTGTTCTGTAATCTCACATGTCGATGACAAGAAGCTTAGATAATAAACAGAATTCCTCTTCCATGTGGAACGAGAATATATGGTACATGAATTTCTCCAACACTCTTCAACCATCTGAAACATACTTATATGGAGACAATGTCATTGCATTGAAGAACCGCATCAAGAGAGGTAACTGAACCTAACCCATCAAGCATTAACCCCCCACTTACATAGAACATCAGCACAACACTTATCATCTATACAGACCGTTTGTTGCGATGATTCATCTCTAGTCTCTTTTATTTTTAGACTTTGGTTTCAGTTTCAACAAATAATTTATTTGGAAACTCTCTCAAGAATTAGTTAACTATCTATTTATTATCTACGGCGCCTAATAACAACTGATGATCTACAACAATACTTAAAACTAAGATTGTACCGATTTGATTTACGGCGCCTAAATAAACTTCTTGCATTTGATTGAACACTGAACTAGAGTGATTCGTTCTTTTCATTAAAATATAATATACATATTCTAAGAGATTGATGCTTGCACACGACAGGAATCGAATATTTACTATTTAGCAAATAATGATGCACGCAAATAGCCAACTACGCATTAAATTAAGATGAAAATTATATTAACTTGTCACTTAGTACACGTCTTCAGCAATCAGAGCTTCTTCGAAGAAATATCTGATCGATGGGTGCTCTACCAAATTATTTTTCTAGATCAACTGATTCAATTAAAACCAATATTAATTTTAACTTGCATCTAACGTCAGTGTTCTAATTATTTAATCAAGAATCATTCAAACTAATAAAGTAACAGATATTCGTTGTCCTATTACGTAGAAAAATAGATTGTCCTTTTAAAAGATTATAACTTCGCAAGTACACACATAACGAGTCTTTCAAACAGTTACAATTGAATAATAATTACAATATGTATTGCATTATACACTAGTTTTCTTGGTGGTCAAATGTAACGATGAACCACTTAGTAGTTTCTTTGTTAGAAAATATACTTGCTTTAAGAAAGCAACAATTTCAATATTGATATATACAAATATAATGGTTTCCTATGCCATTTTCTATTTTATAAGCCATAAGTGAAAGAAAGATTGGTGGTACAGATGTCGAAGTCTTGTTGAAGAAATGTTTAATCAATTTGGATCAACAAGCTAATCTTACCTGGCGTGGATATCTTTATCACCCACAACACTAGATAACATTATCTCTTCTTCTTAATAATTCATTTAAAATTTTAAAATGAGTTTTATTTCGTTTAGTAGCTATCCTCCATTATGATTACATTTCATATACCATGATAACATGTTGCATGATATGATAATAAAAACACAACAAAATAGTTATTAGGTGACCTGAGTCTGAAAAGAATATTTAGGGCAGGGCGAATAGATATCGTATTAGATTTTTTTAATAAACTCTTCTGTCTATGCATGATCATCATTTACTAGAATATATGTGTACTGTATACATCCATATACAAGTTCCTATAGAAACAACAAATACTATATACAGAATGAACTATATTTCACTTACTATCATCAGAAATAGTAAAAACAAAACTTTTTAGACTTCTGAGACAAACAAGAATAGTAATCGCATTCACATTATGATATACTTGCCGAATATTCTTGATATCAGTTATGCTAGGGTTTGCATTTATCATTATGGATGTTTTCATGGTTGGTTTGTTAATGTAATAAATAGCATATATATATATTTGCATTTTTATAGCTAATGATGATTAGTATTTAGTGCAATGTAGAAACAAAAATAATTAGATTTTACGTTAAAATCATATATATATATATATATAGATAGATAGATATAGATATATCCAATTACATAGCTAGCATTTTGTATAGAAGAGAATGACAAATATAATCTAAGTTACAACTCTTTAAGGAAAATCCCAACTTGAATGAAAACGAATGTATAGTTTGCTCGTATTCAAGTAGCGATGTTCCCATACTTAACAAAAACATATTACCAAAATTAGGAAACATACGAAATGGACAACAAAGGCAAACCTTTTTCTGCTAAATATAAATGAAAGTATAAATGACATGGGATAAGCATCTAATTATGGAGTTCCGTTGGTGCTGGAAGTGACATGTGTTTACACAACTAAAGGGGCTTCCAACCATTGATGTTGGATCTTTAATTTAAGCTTATCATTCTAATCACGCATTTGATTAAATATATAACCTGCCGACTCCATTCTAATATATATTATAGATGTTTTAAAGTAAAAGCCAAATATGACTTGATGAAATAATTATTTAGAGATTTAGTGGGAAAATTCAAATCAATCTTTACACCAAATCTATTTGAAAGAATAAAATCCAAGTCAAGAAATGCCACCACTAAAATTCACCTATTCGGTTCTTGGTAAGAGTATTCAAAATTCAGTGAATTCACATATTTCTATATCTCCTACTTATTAAAGCACATATCAAATCCTCAAAAAGACTCGTTAAAAAAAATCAGGAATTTAAAGCAAAATCATTTTCTTAAAACTTGGTTACTTGATCAAAAGTATGGTTGAATTATGGAATCTATAAAGTTCATTACCATTTATGTTTTTAGGTTATAAGATCAACATCAAGTTTGTATAAACAAAAGAATACATCTATATATATATATATATATGTATATATCATAATGTCCATGTGTATGCCTATATATATAACATGACAAATTAAATGACTTTTTCACGAATTACATGAATCTTGTTTAAGTTCAAAAGCTTGAGTAATCCCAATGGTAGTTTTTTACATAGAAGTTCTCAAACTATATATATATATATATATATATAAGAGTATACTAGAAATTTTGGAAACTCAACCAAAGTTGAACAATAAAAAGGAAACTCAACCAAAAATATCTCATTTAACATATTATTGATTTGGTTTTCAAGAATTTTATATACTCTTGAGAACTCCGTGGTAAAACACTATCATTGGAAAGTGCTCTAAATATGTAATTCATATATTCATTTACGCTTCTTAAATATTAATTACACTATCATTTTATAACCTTTGGCATGAAATTTCTACCAAAATATTTGAAATTTAACTATGAATCGAACTAATGCGTGTACTCGCATATGCACGTACCACTACGTACGGTTTGTAAGTTCTTATGTACGCCAGTATCAAAATGCACCAACAAAAAAGCACGTACGCATGAACTGATAAAGGGTAATAGAGACTACACTCCTTTATAAAAATAGACTAAGCAAAAGTGAATGTCTAAGTTAACACCAAATTAAAAAAATAAGACAGTGAATGTTTCAACATGTTTTCTCCCCGTATTAAGCAATGCACCACTTAGAACACATCGATCACGAAACAATTAACTTCTCAATTAGTATCTGGTCAACATCTCAACCTAATTAGGATTAAAAAAAATTATATTGTGACTAATACTTGAAGTCTTGCTCCGATCTGCTGTGTATTATTTAATTGCCGATGATTGACAATTATACACTGTAATCTATTCGAGATTGTTTTTTAAATAATTCTATGATATCACTTGCTGAAATGAATTAAAAACATAGATAACCCTAAACAAATAAAACTCAAATTTCATCAAGAATACTATATATATGTCTCGTTTTTTTCTGGAATAAAATACATCACTAGTATACATTTTAAATCATAGATCTCTCTCTTGTTATACCGTATCTCCGGCAAAACCTAGATGAAGATCCAGCGAGTTAATAATGCTTCT